ATTTGCCAGATGAAGGGAACAGCTAAAGAACAGGGATCGACTTGGGAGTAAGGCCAAAAGGTGGGCGATGAATGGCCCCTCCCAGAGGAAATAAAAGAGGAGCGAAAGGGGAGTGGAGTTTGCAGGAGAAAAATTAGTTCACTTAATTGGTTCTTGACTCTCTGAGACTCCTGGCCAAGTTTTGCAGATATCGGCCTGGCAGCTCTCCAAGCCAGATAAGGTCTGTGACCGTAAATCCTCCCTCGAAAGACTTTGCTGGAAGTGAATGAGCAGAATTCACAGCAAATTAATAAAAGGGGTTTTTGCCGGGACAGGCTCTTGGGAAGGGTAGGTCAGAACAGTGGGCTTCCTTGGAGGATCAGGCTGCTGCAGTTGCGAGCCACGGTGACCCCAAACCTCACCTGTTCCTGGTCTGCTTCTCCCATAGGTGGGCCTGGACCACGGCCTGCTGAACGGCTTCCGGAAGCTGCGACCCAAGAAGGCATCGAAAAAATTGTACAAGCAGCTGCAGTGGGAGCTTAGCCAGGAGAAGAGTTTGTGGCCACCTCTCCACGCGCCTCTCTTTGCCCCCACCAGAATCTCCCCAGCCACAAGATGACGCTTAGCCGGTGACTTTCCGTGTGGAGGGTCTCTGCTGTGGTTCCTTTTTTGGATCTAGCTCCTTCCTTCCAGCAGCTCTCCCGAGATCCTCCGGGATCCTCCTTCGACTGACAAAGGCAACTCTGAGACGCCTCTCCCTTGTGGTGTTTCTCATTCTCTAAGAACATCGGCGAAGGGAACGAACTGGCATTTCTCTCTAAGCCACACAACCGATAACGGAGCTGCTGTGCTACGGAGAACCCATCTTCATCAGCCTCTCAGTCGAAGCCATGGGAAGCACCAACATTTCTGACCACTCTTGCATCTTTCTTGAGCAGCCTTTTTTTACAACCACATGCTGGGTTAAGAGGAAGCCGGCAGAGACATAGCAATAGCACTTAGACTTATATGTCGCTTTACAGTGCTTTGACAGCCCTAAGCGGTTTACAGAGTCAGCCTATTGCCCCCAACAATCTGGCTCCTCATTTGACCCACCTCGGAAGGATGGAAGGCTGAGCCGACCATAAGCCGGTCAGGATCGAACTGCTGGCAATGGGGCAGAATTAACCTGCAATCCTGCATTCTAGCCACTGTGGCCCTTAATAGGAATAGCACTTCGACTTATAGACCCCTTCACAGTGCTTCACAGCCCTCTCTAAGCAGTTTACAGAGTCAGCGTATTGCCCCCCCCCAAAACAATCTGGGTCCTCATTGTACCCACCTTGGAAGGATGGAAGGCTGAGTCAACCTTTGAGCTGGTGAGATTTGAACTGCCAAACTGTGCAGCTAGCAGTCAGCTGAAGTAGCCTGCAGTACTGCACTCTGACAATGGCGCCACCTCGGCATCCCATTGGCCAAGGTGAGAATGGTGTCCCCTTTTCCCAGTGACCTTTGGGCCTTTTGGCTGCCGGACAGGGAATGTCAGCAAATGCAGAACTTGTCCCACATCAGAACTTCGAGGCAGAGGACGACGAAGGGCTGTCTCCCAAGGGCTGCTCCCTGGCCAGTCTGGGAATCCAGCTCCCTTCCGCGGAGGGCGTCTTCTTTCTACTGCAAAGAGATCTGCTTCCTACGTATGGGCAGCCTTGCGGGTGGGTGGGCTGCTTTAACCCACTACCACCTCAACTGAAAAGAGAGAGCCCAAACAAGACAGGACCAGAAAGAGTTGGGCTGTTCAGTCTGTTTTCCTTTGGCTACGATTTTCATTTGTTTTGTGTGTTTGTTTGTGTGTATGTGTGTGTATACATATCACAGAAGTGAATAACACCCCTTCACATTTTATAAATATTTAAGGATATCTTTTCATGGGGCAGCACTGAAGAAATGACCCTTAGCTACAATGTAAAGTAGTGAGTACACAGCTTGTATAACAGTGTAAATGTGCTGTCCCCTCAAAATAATGCAGCACACACAGCCATTCATGTCTAAACTGCTGGCAAGACATACTTAAATATTTACAAAATGTGAGGGGTGTGTGTACTAACATCTGCGATATACTGTAGGTAGTCCTCAACTTAACTCTTACAACTGAGCCCAAAATTTATGTTGAGAAGTGAGTTTTGCCCCACCACACTTTTTTTTAAATATCTTTTCTTGTTATAAAAATGAATCACTGCAGTTCATAAATCGGTAACACCGTCATTTAAGAGAATCTGGCTTCCTCACCAACTTTGTTTATCGGACTGTCGTGGAAGGGGATCACATCACACACACACACACACACACACACACCCGGGACACCGCGACCGTCATAAACAGGAACCGTTTGTTTGCCAAGCAAGCGAATGTAAATCATGTGACCATGGGGATGCTCTGGGTGGTCGTTAAGTGTGAAAAATGGTCATGTCACTTTTTTCAGTGCCATCGTAACTTTGCTCACCAAGCGAACTCTTGTAAGTCGGGGACTACCTGGATATGTACATATACATATGTGTACGTATGTATATATGTATGTGTATCTATTTGCCAGTTTCTTTTTAATATTAGCAATCGTGTTTAGTTAATTGGATATTCAGAAGGGCTTAAAGGTAAAGGTTCCCCTCGCACCTATGTGCTAGTCGTTCCCGACTCCAGAGGGTGGTGCTCATCTCCGTTTCAAAGTTGAAGAGCCAGCACTGTCCGACGACGTCTTCGTGATCATGTGGCCGGTATGACTCAATGCCGAAGGCGCACAGAACGCTGTTCTCTTCCCCTATTTTTCTACTTGCATTTTTTACATGCTTTTGAACTGCTAGATTGGTAGAAGCTGGGACAAGTCACGGGAGCTCACTCCATTATGTGGCGCTAGGGTTTCGAACTGCCAGATTTTCTGATCGACAAGCTCAGTGTCGATCCACAATCACAGAAGCAATAATGTATTCAATGAGTAACTGCATGAAGGAGGTCTGGGACAAATTGGGGGGGGGGGAATGCACAGGAGAGGCAGGTCCCCTACTTAAAAGGTGGCCTCTTCAGGCCTGACCAAGAGGCAGGTGAGAGAAGGACTGACCCGAGCCTTGCAGACAGAGACTCTTCCGGCCCAGGCAGCTCCATTACCAAAACGATCCTGGAAAAAACGGCGGTGGGCCCTGCTGGAGCCGCTCTCTGCCCTAAGAGGGGAACAGCTGAGAAATGGACTATAGCCAAAGCCAATCGGTAGTTCCCATGTGCTTCCATACCCCCCCCTGTGTTCCCAGTGGTGGTGGACAAACTGGCCAGAGAAAGAAACAGCAGCTTGTTTGAACCTTTCCACCGCATGGCAAGCCACAGAAAGCCCACACCGTTTCTAACGGGAGCCTCTCAAGGGGGATAGGAAGGCATCCTTTCTGCCGGTCTCAGATGATGGTAGACTGCCTCTAAGCCTGGAGGCTTCGGGGATCAGCTTCAGTCCAAAAGCCGGCGCTGGAAGGAGCTGCCCAGTCCTGCCTTCTCCACAAGCCAAAGAGCGCATCGCACTAGGGAGTCCCAGCAAAACCGCCGTGCTCGCTGCCTTTCTCCATCGTGGACCCTTGAAATAAACCCACTAGGTGAGCTACAGCTGCGTGTGCCAGTTGCAGCTGCAGCCAAGGGGGGGGGGGAGAAACCTCTGGAAAAAAAGTTGTCCTGCTGCCTCGAGAGAAGTTGGCATTAGGACCCAGGAGGGCGGCTGCGTTACTGGAAGCCTGGCTCCTTCAGGCTCTTTGGAAAGCGAGACCCGGGCGAGGAGGAGAGAGCGTGAAGTCAGCCGCCGGAGAGGGAGAAAGACCCCCAAGTTGGTAAGTTGGCTGAGGGGCACCGCGGGCTTTGCGGGGGCAGGAAAAGGGGCACTTCGCGGTCAGAACTTGCAAGGGGATGCACTTCGGAGCTGCCACCTTTTCTTCCATGCAGGGAAACGATTACCTTTCAAATAAAGTTTTTAGCCACGGGAAACCTAAGAGCTCCCCCAAACCCTTCTCCTCCCGCTCCCCCTTTGGATGCCAGCAAAAAAATTCCCAAAGAAAGAAACAAAAAGGTAAAGAATTCTTCTGCCTGGCAACTAAGTTGGCTTAGTAGGAAAGCCCCCTCCCCCTCATTTCCTGAGATCTGGACTTTCGCTCGGGAGTGGGTGGGTGGGTGGGGAAGGGGTCCTTTTCTTAGGAAGTTTGACTTTTGGAATTACTTGACCAGTGGTCTTGCTCTGTTTGGGAAAGGGGGGGAGGGGGTGTTGCTTCAACACCCCTGAATTTGACCATTCAATCCTTGGGGCCAGGAAGGAGGAGGGCTCCCCTTTTGTTCTCCAGCTTCTTGCAAGGGGGGTGGGTGGGTGGGTGATGGGATGGGGAGGTGGAGTTGTGGAGGGCTGCCGGCCATTCTTGGCTTTCCAGAAGTTGGCTGATTGCTCCCAGATGTGCATCTGGTTTCTCTAAAGCAGGAACCTCCTGCATCTGAGCCCCTTCCCCCTCGCACCTCCGCCGTCGAGCACAAGAAGGGAGGGTGAACAGGAAAAGGGGGAACTGGGGCCTTAAGCCAGCCCGGCCCTTCTCCACCCACTCCCCATCCATCAGCAGCACGTTCCCCACATCTACCTGGTCTGGCAGGAAAGCTGAGCCAACTTGGGATTTTCTGGGCCACTTTCTCGGGCTCCTCTTTCTCCTCTGCGCTAGAGAATACCGGCTGGTACACCGGGCGAAAGCTTTCCACTGCGATAGGAAACGGGACAGCCCTGGAAACTTTGCTCAGGCACCTGGCGGGATCTTCTCCTGGACTGGACTCTGCAGCGAGAAGCGAGTCTGTGTCGCTTGGTCTGAAGTGTCTTTTGGCCAAAGCTGCTGGCCTGTGACGAGTCCTCTTATTTTTTTCCGCCCACTCCTGCAGGGTTGGGCAGGGGAAAAATCCCAGCGAGGGTGGGGGGAAGGATGCTTTGCAGTAGTGGGATTCAAATTTTTTACTACCGGTTCTGTGGGTGTGGCAGGGGAAGGATACTGTAAAATTCCCATTCCCTCCCCACTCCAGGGAAAGGATACTGTAAAATCCCCATTCCTTCCCCACTCCAGGGGAAGGATACTGTAAAATCTCCATTCCCTCCTCACTCCAGGGGAAGGATACTGTAAAATCTCCATTCCCTCCTCACTCCAGGGGAACGATACTGCAAAATCCCCATTCCCAAACTTCCGCTACACCGGTTCTCCAGAACTGGTCAGAACCTGCTGAATACCTTCTCTGGAAAACCTGCTGAATACCTTCTCTAATGCTTAGGTCTTTGGAGATCAGCTGGAAACAACATTCTCATCCACCCCTCCTTGAACCCCTTGACTGAAGAGGTTAACCATGGGGGGCTCAAAAGACAGGGAGAGTTCCCAGCATCCTTGGCCTGAGAATCTGGCCTGTACTAAGGACGGGGTGGTTACTGGCTACCCTGGGCAATTTGACTCCACTGATTGAGCCTTGCCCAAAGCAGCTTGGGAACCACACCAAGGTTGTTTCTGGGACAAGAACACAACTCTGAAAAGGCTGTTCGTGTGTGTGTGTGTGTGTGTGTGTTTGTGTGTGACGATTCTTCCCTCCAATCTAAGCCAGTGTCCTGTGTCTTACAGCTCAGCTCCAATTTGGCTGCCTCTGAAGCTCCCCCAGACAAGGATGAGGACTCTTCTGGCCCTTCTCCTCCTCTGCCTGCCAGGTAAGAGGCAAAGCTGGGTCCCCGACCACCTCCCTCCTCCTGCCCGGAGTCCTCCTTGCTTGAGCAAAGGGATCCGGGACTCCCCACCACCGTCCCATGACTTCACGGATATGCTGAAGACAGGGCTACACGCAATGACACGTCAGGTCTCCACTTTCCCAAGTGCTTGGGGAGGGCGAAGGGGTCCCTCGCATGTACAAGGCAAGGGGACCGCAGAAAGGGATGCCCAGCTTTCGTTCGTGTCACTTAAGCAAGAACCCCCTCCCCTCCCCACCGGGCAAGAAGCGTGAAAAGGGGAAGAAGGCCCGCTTTGCAGTGGCTCTCCAAGTCGACAATGCCGGGAAGGACCCCCACCTGGGCAGATGCGTGGCCCCCCCTGCAACAGCCGGCCTCAATTTCTTCCCCTTCTCCCTCCTCTGCAGCACTTCTGGCTCAGGGGCAGTATGACCTCGACGACCCTGCCTATCCCGAGCCCCCGTATGCCCCTTACGAAATTGGTAAGTACCAGCAAGAGCCCAGGGGCCCCTCTCCGGCTGGCCATAGCCAATCCTGATCGGGGGGTAGAACCCTGCTCTTACAGGAGTTTGATATATCCTTCTGGCCTCTCTCTTCCTTGTTTTCAGAGAGTCAAGATTATTACGATTACGCCGGGAACGGTGAGTCTGTCCAAGAGGCCAAACCTGGCATAGCTCAACTGCCTGTCTGGTAAAAGCAGCTGTCCTCAACACTTCTGGATTGGCGGCACAGTGGGGGTGGTGTAAGTGTGTGTGTAAGTGGGGATAGTTCCTCTTGAGGGGAGCAAGCGGCCGCCACTCACATGAGCGGAGCTTCGCACATGCTCACACACACACATGCCACCTGTTCGGCCCACTTTCCAAAAGGACCGCAGTCCAGTAGTGGGCCACACCCCAGGGGTTGAGGAACGCTGTGGTAAAGGGCTTGGATAAAGCGGCCACCCCCACTCTCCCTCTGCCCTGCAGATCTCTCCCCCCAAACTCCGGAGGAGCACTTCCAGTCCCAGCAGCAGAATCAGCAAGAGGTCATTCCCGCCCCAACCCCAGGTGAGCAGCCTGTAGGGCGGGTCGGTGGGGCGGAAGGGAGCTCCTCCCTGCTCTGCGATTTTCTGGCTCTGCCCAGCTGCCTGCTCCATACCCACCCACCCACCTCCCACTCTCCCAGGGTTAACAGTTACTCACACCTTGCTGCTATCTGGGCTTTTCTCCCCCCCCCTCCCCTAGACATTTCTGAGACGGAGCCCACCGAACCGGGGCCTCTTGGTAAGAAATCACCAGCTCTGAAATCAGACCCTCTTCCTGAGGTCTGCAACAAACAAGTTGGTTTTGGCACCCCCCAGGACCCTTCCTCTCGTCCCAGAGAGGGGGAGGCTGCTGCTCCTGAGCCTATGTGGCTGGGGAGGGGGCGGGGGTAAAGCAAGTTAAAGACTCTTGGGACTGAATGGAGACCCCCCTCCCCTGTCTTCTTCTTGGTCTCCAGACTGCCAGGAGGAGCAATACCCTTGCACCAGGCTGTATTCCATTTACAAGCCTTGCAAACAGTGTCTGAATGAGATCTGCTTCTACAGGTGAGGGGCCGCAATTGAATCGGGACCAAACCACACACCCCCACGCCCTGGAGAGCATTCCTCTACAAGCTTCTCTCCACACGGCAGGCAAGGTTCCCCAAGCAGACTTGGGAGGGCGCTGGTGTGCTTGCAATGGGCCTGCAGGAAACGCTGCAGCCAATCCCGCGGAAAGCTGTGCAGGCGGGCGAGGGGAGGGAGGCTGCCTGCCGATTCAGATTCGGACAGTGAGGAAGTTGGGGAGGAACATGGGCCAGTCCTGGAGTCTGGGGAAGGCTCTGATGAGGGCTCTGTGTCAGAGACAGAGAGGGGGCCAGGGCCGTATGTGAGTTATCAGCTGCCTTCAGAGGCAGACATCAGTGAGGCAGACGAACAGCTGGAGCCTGTTCCCAGGGTACCCATGCACAGAGTTGCAAGGTGAAGGGAACAGCTAAAGAACGGGGGGTGACTTGGGAGTAAGGCCAGAGGTGGACGATGAATGCCCCCGCCCCCAGAGGAAATAAAAGAGGAGCGAAAGGGGAGTGGAGTTTGCAGGAGACAACTAGTTTGCTCCATTGGTTCGTGATTCTCCGAGACTCCTTGCCAAGTTTTGTAGATATCGGCCTGGCAGCTCTCCAAGCCAGATAAGGTCTGTGACTGTAAATCCTCCCTTGAAAGACTTTGCTGGCTGTGAAGGAGCAGAATTCACAGTCAATTAATAAAAGGGTTTTTGTCGGGACAAGGAGTTTGCTTCATGCTCCCGGGAAGCCTCGGTCAGAACAGGGAGACATTCTGTGGCCTTTTCCGCGTTCAGCCTCCGCAGGGTCTACGTGATCAATAAGGAGATCTGCGTCCGTACAGTCTGTGCTCACGAAGAACTCCTAAGAGGTATGCACAAAGATCGAAGGGCCCTGGGCCCTTGGGTCCTCCAGTCATGATGGTTACAGGGCCAGCCGATTTGGGACATTTCTTCCCAGCAGCAGTTGGGGACAGCTTTGCCTAAAACTTGGGGGGGTGGGAGCGAGGTTGTGAAGAAGGAGATGTGGGGATTCTAACTCCTGATGGTGGCTCCCCCAGCCGACCTCTGTCGTGACAGATTCTCCAAGTGCGGCATCATGGCGACCAGCGGCCTTTGCCAGACTATGGCCACCTCTTGTGCTCGGAGTTGTGGCGGTTGCTGAGCGGGGAAAAGGGTCGTGGCAGTGGACGGGAGGAGATTCTGGACCACGGATGATGCCCCTGGTTCGTGCCCAGAGGAACAACGGCCCTTCTTGGGGGGCCCTCCCCCACCGTGGCAGTGACACACCTGCAGGGCTGCTCAGGCGTGACTCGGGCCGGGGTCTCAACAGGGACCCAACTTCATCCTTCCAGAAATGCCGACCATCACGCCAGCTACCGGTTGGGTTGGGTTGAAATGTCTTGTAATTGCAAGTTATATTTTTTGTACGGAGCGTAATTTTCTCCCCACCCACCCTTTTTTTACAAAACGATCTTAAAAATTAAACAGACCAAACATGTTACCATTGTCCATTCTTTTTCTGGCAAAAGATGGTGGCACAACGGGACACCCTCCTTCCTGCATTTTCACAACCCTTCCCAATAGAATTGGGGTGGGGAGGGAGGACGGAAACTCTCAAATCTGCCATTACAAACTATTCCCCTTCTACGTAATGAGCGGAAAGCCTGAGAAAGCCACAATGCCGCGGATATAAAAAAAATAACTTTCTACTTTCCTTGATTGGCTGCTACATAAAGAGTCCCAACAGAGAAAAATACACACCTGATTAGGTTCTACGGTCCGATTAAAAAAATATATCCTTGGTCGAGGATGCCCTTCGGCCCATCATGGGACACAAACGCTGCTCCAGGCAATGGGGGGTGGGGGGCTCTCCCTCCCCAGCCAGAGACCAGGCCAGGATCTACTCAGATGCCCACCCACCCACCCCGTTCTCCACCAGGAAAGAAATGGAACCTTCTGGCATCAGTTGCGCTTGGCTTGCTGCTCGCTTTCCCTGGGGGCTCCTTTTCGGTCATCTTTATGGGGGGGGGGGGGCGAATTCTCCTTCTGATCCAGCTTGGATCCGAGAAGTAACCAAACTGTTCAGACAACCGAGGCCTTCTTGGGACAGCAAAAAGAAGAAGAGAGGAGCGGTTCGCACTACCTTGCACCGCGGGCGAACCTAGGCCCTGAGGGATAGGAGGTCGGTGGCCTCTCTTGCTGTGGCACTCTTTAGAGCCGTGGGGCTCAGCTCCTTCCACTTGTCTGCTGCCACAGCTAGTTTCCAGAAACGAGAGGGGAAGCTGGGAAATAAGGTTGCCCCTTCTGGGTGTCTTGCTGCAGCTGCTCCTTCAGAGTCGAGATCTATGGAGGGATGAGGGGGGTGGGGGAGAAAGACCCCTTCAGTATCCAGGCCAGGGGGTGTGTCCAGGAGTAGCAGCACCGCAGCTGGGCCAGAGTCCCCAGGAGGGAGGGAGCTCACCTGCTCTTCCAGCCCTTTGCCTCCAGGACAGGAACTGCTCAGGCGCTCACCCTCCTGCCACTGAGGGGAGGCTGCTTTGCCAAGAAGCTTCTTGCCCCGGGCCTGCTCCAGCTCGGCCACCTGCGCCTAGGTCAGCGGAGGGAACGTCAGTATTAATGTCCATCTTGCACCCTCAAGGGGGACACCCAATGGCCCAGTGGTGGGATTCCAATTTTTTTTACTACTGGTTCTGTGGGCGTGGCTTGGTGGGCGTGGCAGGGGAAGGATACTGTAAAATCTCCATTCCCACCCCACTCCAGGGGAAGGATACTGCAAAATCTCATTCCCTCCCCACTCCAGGGGAAGGATGCTGTAAAATCTCCATTCCCTCCACACTCCAGGGGAAGGATACTGCAAAATCCCCCATTCCCACCCCACTCTGGGGGAAGGATAGTATAAAATCTCTATTCCCTCCCCACTCCAGGGGAAGGATACTGCAAAATCCCCCATTCCCCTCCACTCCGGGGGAAGGATACTGCAAAATCTCCCCTCCCCAGTCCAGGGGAAGGATACTGCAAAATTCCCCATTCCCTCCCGATAAGCTGGGACTCAGGAGGCAGAGAATAGATGGGGGCGGGGCCAGCCAGAGGTGGTGTTTGCCAGTTCTCCGAACTAAAAATTTCCGCTACCGGTTCTACAGAACTGGTCAGAACCTGCTGAATACCACTTCTGCACCAGCCCTGTCCCGCCTGCTTTAACTCTCAACTTTCTCCTTTTCACTCAGCTGGCCATCTGGGCCAGCGTCGACATCTGGGGAGCTAAGTGCTACTTGTTTTCCTGGTTTTCCTACAGCATCCCAGGGAGTGGAGCCCCCCACCCCCCTCTCGTTTCTATCCAGGAAGCTGGCGAGAGCTGAGGGACACACTCCTTCGAGGCATCCGAAGGGCAGGATGCTTTTAGCCGCACAGAGACTGCCACCCACCAGGCCCCTGTAGTCACCGTTACCTCCAGCTGCCGTATCAGCTGCTGGGCTCCCATCAGCTCTTGCTCTGTGCCCGTGAGGGAACGATCCAGGCGCCCTTTTTCCACGGAAAGCCGCACGGAGTCCTCGTGAGTCTTCAGCTTCTCGCGCTCCACCTACCAATTCCACCATGACTCAGTGGCTGCACAACCCCCCCCTCCCCCATGACTCAAACACCCAGCAGGAGGGGATTTAGAGGGGGGAAAACACTCTGCGGGAGCCCCTCAGTTTACGGGTGCTCTGTGAGCCCGAGCCCTACCCCCTCCATGCCCAATTCATTCCCTCCCCTCTGGAAACCTGCTCTTGGTCCCCTCCAGACCTCCCTAAGGCCTCTCGTCTCTTGCTTCCCCCAGAGTACGCACAACTGACCTTGTCCAGGGTTCTCCGCAGGGCGCCCTTCTCCTTCTCCAGGCGCAGGGACAGGCGCTCGGCTTCCCGTTTCTCGCTCTCGAGCTGGGCCAGGGCCTTCTGCAGACTGCCCAGGCGCTCCTGGAGCAGGCGCCGGTCCTCTTGCACCTTCTGCAGCTTCCGCAGGGCCGCCGCCTCCCCCTCCTGGCGTTGGTGCAGCAGCTGCAGGCAGGGAGAAGAGGACATGGGAGGGAGAGTTTCCAGGCACGACTCACCCCTGCCCGCTAATCCCGGGAACGAAACCAGCTCTTTAGGCCCACCCGGATCTCAGGCTCTAGCCTTGTGGGTCTGGTTCCTCATGGAAAGGGCACCTCCAAGGGCTCAAGAAACTCACCTCTTCCTGCTGTCTCCCCAGCCCCTCCAGCTCCTCCTTCTGCAGCTCCAGCTCAGCCTGCTGCCCCTTCAAGGCTTGGAGCCGCTCCGAAAGGGCCCCGTTCTGCTTCTTTGCTTCCAAGAGGGCATGCCGGGCTGCATCCAGTCGCTCCTGAAGGGATATAGGATGGATGGATGTGGGCCCGTCTCTCTCAGCAGAGCAACAGCTACTTGTGACGAAGGAAGGCGCTGCCGTGGGGCCCCGGCCTTTCTCCACTCACCTGCAGGACTCTCTGCTCGTGCGCTCCGGTTGCCAGGGCCTTCTGCAACTGCAGCAGCTTCTCCTGCGCCGAGACGGAGTTTCTCTGGGTCTCGGACAAGGTGGCTGTCAGCCCCTGCACCTTCTCCTTCAGGGAAGTCTCAGAATCGGCAGCCTTGGCCAGCGAGAGGTTGAGTTGGTCCAAGGACTGCTGCAGTGCACCGGCTCTCATCTCGCTCTCAGTCACCTGGTGTGGCAGGAACGAGCCAAAGTAAGGCTGTCAGCGGGGCAGCCTAAGGCTCCTCTCCGTGCTCGTCCATCAAGGGGGTAGGGCTGGGCCCTGGGGTGGTTGTGATGAGGCCCCCGTGGTCACACACAGGACCTCACCTGCCTCTGCATGACGGCAATGCGCTCCTGAAGAAGCTGGAGCTCAGCCTCGCGGTCACTCAGCACCACCTTGGCCCGCTGCAGTTCCCCTTCCAGCGACCGCCGCAGGAGCTCCAGTTTGGTGCTCCGGCTCTCCGAACTACCCAAGGAGTCTCTCAGCCGTCGTTTGTCCGCCTCCAGCTTGGCCTCGTTGGCCTTCATCTTGCTGAGTTTCTCCTGCAACAAGTGAGAAGGTGGAAAAAGTGATCATAATTGCTTCCGACTTGCCTGGCAGGGGCAGGCTGAGCTGATCCGGGTGTGGCCAGCTGGGAAACAGCTGAGCTGGGCGGGGGGAGCACGGCCTGCTTCAGGAGACGGAGCTGGGATGAGGAAGTCCTCCTGGGATGCAGCAGAGGAAGCTAGATGGGAGCACCGGTTCTTCCACCTCCACCCAGGTGGAATTTGACATTCAAATTTTTTCCCTACCAATTCTGTGGGCGTGGCTTGCAGGGGTGTCCGGTGACTGAGTGGTCATGGCCAACTTGATGTCACTCGCGGCCACGGTCATTCAGTCAAAGGACCCCCTCACCAAGGGACGCCCACAGAACCCGGTAGGAAAAAATGTGTGTATGAGCACAAGAAGGGCTCATAATGAATGCTGTGGCAGACAGAATCCGAACGTTTCTCCCTCCATTCACAGCGGAGCTGCTGCAGCCTGTCCCTTTAAGGTAGTCCCTGGGAGGGAGGGTGCTGGGGGGGACCATAAAGGAAGCTGCAGCTCCGCTGTGAATGGAGGGAGAAAAGTTTGGATTCTCTCTGCCACAGAATTCAATGTTAAATGCAGCAGAGAGAATCTGAATGTTTGTGTCCCATGATGGGCCGAAGGGCATCCTCAACCAAGGATATTTTTAATCAGACTGTAGAACCTAATCAGGTGTGTATTTTTCTTTCTCCCTCCATTCACTGCTCCCTTTATTGTCCCTCCCGGCTCCCTCCCTCCCAGGGATTACCTAAAAGGGACAGGCTGTAGCAGCTGCGCTGTAAATGGAGAGAGAAATGTTCGGATTGGGTGGGTGGTTCGAGCGGCGACTGGGCAACTGACCAGGCAGGCGTGGGCGGGGCCAACCAGGGGTTATTTCTTCCAGTTCAGGGAACCAATTCAAATCGTCCCTATCCGGTTCACCCTATCCGGTCCAATCTGGTCACCCCAGCCTCCACCCTTCCATTAGATGCTGAGAAGGATCGAAGAATTCCCCCCAGAAACATGCACCTCTCCCCGCAAGGCCACTTTCTGAATAAGAACCCAGTTTTCCTGCACACCCACCTGCGTAGCCCTCTGCTCGCTTGCAGCTGCCTGCAGGTCGTGCTCCAGCGTAGCCAGCTTCTCCGCCTGGGCCTTGCGCTCTCGTTCACTCCAGCGCAGGGTCTCCTCCTGAAGCATCAAAGCCGTCTGGGCCCCCGTCAGCTTCCCATCCAGACTACGCCTCTCTGCAGAAGGAACGACACTGCGCTCAGGAATGGGCTCCCTGGGGCTGTCTTCCCTTTTCTATGTGGCAGGCGGGCAGCTCCGGTGACCAATGGGCCAAGCCCCCATTCCTCAAGGGCACAAACCAAAAGAAGGTGCCCCCGACCAAGGGGAAGATGTCACCATCCTGCCTCAGCTGCCAAACGCTGTAGTCGAGGGCCACAGTGCCTTCTTAACAACTGCCTTTACAAAATGGCAGGTGTTTATTCGGGAGAAAAAGGGCTTTGCTTATGCTCATCTTCTTTCTGGAAGTATCCAATGAGAAAAGCTGCTATCCAGAACAAATGAAGCGTGAAAGGATGTGTTCGCCCCTAGCTTCTGCGTTCAGGAGCACAGCCACTTATGTTTCCCAGAAAGAGAGAAGAAAGCTACCTTCCTCACAAGCCGCCACCTGCTTCTGCAGCTGCTGCACACGGCTGCTGGCCAGGTCACGCTGGGCCTCCGTCTCGGCCAACTGACACTTCAGGCCACCCAGCTGGGAACGAGCATCATCCTGGATCCCGAAAGACAGAGGAAAATTCAGACCAAGGGGTTTTTTTTTGGGGGGGGGGGGGAGAGCCGTTCACCGCTGCAGACGGACAAAATGCAACTCCTCTCCTCATACCCGCTCTTGCTGGGCCTCCCTCAGCTCTTCCAGGAAGTCTCGCAACACATTCTGAACGATCTCCGGGTCGATGTCTGCCACCAGTTGCCCAGCCTGGCTGGGAGACGGGGGGCGCTCTGGTGAGATGGGGAGGGAGAACGGGCCGCTGGGCAATGAGGCGGGGCTGCCACTGAGCCCCTCAACGGTAGACGTTCCTGCGGAGAGAAGAGGACATGGCTGTCACCTGTTGTGGCCCACCAGTGGAGCTGGCAGCAGAGTCAAGACAGTGAGGAGGATGGGGAGGAGCACGAGCTGGGGAAGATTCGGACAAGGGCTCTGCGTCAGAGGCAGTGAGGGGGACGAGGCCATCTGGCAGTGATTAGGTGCCTATGGAGCTAGACAGGAGGCAGAGGAATAGCTGGAGCCTGTTCCCAGTGTGTGCAGAGCTGCCAGAAGAAAAAAACAGCTCAGAAATCAGGGTAGAGTTGGGAGTAGTCACAGGTGGAAGGTGATTGGCCCCTCCCATAGGAAATAAAAGAGGAGCGAAAGGGGAGTGGGATTTTGCAGGAAACAATTTCTTCGGTCAGTCATTAGATTCGTTTCAGGAGTGTGAAGATCTGTCCATGAATCTCAGAGACTCTGTGCCCAGTCTTTCCTTGCACAGCACCTCATTTGAGATATATTTACATGGCAGCTTTCCAAGCTAGATAAGGTCGGTGGTCATAAATATTCCTTTGAAAGACTGTTTGCCAGGCCTTTGCTATATGCGAAGGAGAGGAATTCACATTCGTTTAATAAAAGGGGTATTGTCGGGACCAGGACTCTGCCTCCTGCTTTTGGGGGAAGCCTAGGTCAGAACATTGCCTGCCCAGCACTAGAGACCTGAAACAGACGTCCAAGAGAGAGAGATACCTTTGGGAGGAGAGAAGGGTATCTTTGGGGAGCCACCGCTGACCCTTGCTCCGGGGACACGGCCTCTGCGGCTGACGCCCAGGGTTCGCCGGAGGGCTGAGTGAAGTCTACCCAGCTTGTACTCCGCCTCTCGTTTCAGGCCCTCCAGGCGGCCCAGCTCCACTTCCAGGCCCTGGGCACGACCCTCGGCTGCGCTCAGCCGCAGGCCCAGCTCGGCCCCCTCCGCCTGGGCCTTCTCCAGCTTGATCTCCAGGTTGCGGGCATCATCCAGCAGCTTCTTCTCAGTGACCCGGGCTTCCTCCAGGCTCCCCAGAAGCCCCTTCTCCCTTAGGCGTGACTCCTGCTCCAGGTCCATGAGCTTCCGCTGCAGGTTGTGGAGCTGAAAGGAGAATGACAGGATAAGGATGATTTAAAGCTGACCAGCCAATGTAAGGCTGATGCAACAGTATAGGCTGATGTAATGATGAGTCAGCAGAGGTATCGCTGCTTTAAGAAGCCAAGTCTTTACCCCTTTAAGAGGTGTTTATATAAAGGAGGCCATGAGAGGGTATATATCTCTCTCTCTTCATGTATCTCTCTTCTTGTATCCGTTGCAAAGTTCTCTGTGTAGTGTTAAGATTGATTGCTTGTCAGGTATTTGCTACCATGTATGCTTCTGTATATGTCTTGTATATAAACCACTGTTAATTGACTCTCTTATGTGCTGTGTTTTGCTCCCGGGTTCTCCTAAGAATAGTCCCGCTGCAAACGCTCTGGCAGAGGCATCTTGAGTAAAGAGTAGAAATATCCAGGCTGATCGCCTTATAGAAAGATTCCATGAAAAAAAATCCAAACAAGCCTGGGGGGAGGACGTAGCCTTGAATCCTATACTTGTACTCAATTTTGTTTTGCTTCGCATAGGTTGCTTCTGGAAAGTGAGGGGAGCCAAATGTCAACTCTCAGTGTTGTCATGGAGACAGAATGAGGGGGAGTGAATTCCACGCATACTGTCGGCTGGAGTTGGATCTGATTACTGCTTGGAAGGGGTGCATCTTATAGGGTAATGTGATTTATGACATAGACTGAGGGGAGGGAAGGAACAGAGGTATAACTCAAACAAAGCAGAGGCTTGACTGCGAACAGATTTTGCCTAATGGTGCTACTAATAAATGACTAGTTTTGTATTGAAAACTTGACTTGTTACTTATGAATCAATTAGAGCATTTTTAGGAAATTGACAGCTCTGACAGAGAAGCCTTTGGGTACTAGAGGCGGCGAGCCCCAAACTCTTGCCTGCCCAGCTGAATCCAGATGGGCACGTCGTAAGGACACAATGGACTGCGAAAATCACGGTCCTCCTTTCTTGGCAATGCTAGGCTGGAGGAAGAGAAGCCAAGTTCGAACCGAACTCGGAGTCCACCTCACCTCTTTCCGGGCCGACTCCCGGCTGGCCTCGCTCTCTACAATCTTCTGCTTGAGGCCGAAGGATTCCCGCCGGCTCTCCTCCTCCCGCTGTTCGTCAAGGGCCCCTCGGGTCTGGAGCTCGGCTACCTCTTTGTTTTTCTTGCTGTTTTCACTGTCGAGCATCTTGACCTGAGAACAGAGAAAACTAAATCACAGTCCGAGGCAAAGGATTCCTCAATGTTCCATATTAAGAGAGCCATGTTGGCACATCTGGGAAAACCCAAATCTGAAAGCTTCCCAGTTTTCCCCACCCAGTTGAAAGTTCAAGATCCTGCCCCTATAGCCACAAGTCCATCACATGGTCCTATCTTCCACTGCCACACTGGCAGCTTCCACTCATCCAGATCTGGCCAGGTGCAGAGACAAAGGATGACCTTGGCTCTCTAGAAAGAATGTTATTATGGCTACATATCACCCAACTCCTTATAATTCTCTCACCCATTTTTCCACAATAGAAAGTAGACAGTAGAAAGTGTGGCAGGCCTGAAGTCCAAAAGAAAAGGTGGCTTGCAGGCATGACTCCCGCTCCCTCCCTCCCTCCCTCCCCCTCCCTCCCTCCCTCTCCCTCTCATGGAAAGGAAGGCAAAGCAGAACCAAAGGAGTAACTTACGAGGGGATGAGAAAAGAGAGCTGTACCCTTGGGTAGCCCCCTGCCCTTCCCTCCCTCCTTGCCATGCCCCCTCCTGTCTGCACCCCACACCTGTCTCCGCAGCTCCTGCAACTCCCTACGGGCCTCCAGCCGTGACTGCTCCACATCCTGGAGGCTGCTGCGTATATCTGTGGCCTCCTTGCCGGCAGCTGCTTGGGCCTCCTCCAAGACTGAAATTTTCTGGTCCTTCTCCTCAGTTGCGCGCTTCAAACTGGAGATGGGTTAAACAAAAAGGAGGGGGGGGAGACCTTCTTCAGTGGGGAAATCGTGAGCCCATCCATCCTGTTCCCAAAGAGGCTGGAGGTTTCATAAGCATGGGAAAGCCGCTTTAACATCAGTCAGCTAGAGGCAGGATGCGCGCGGGCAGCGTTCACAGCGGAAGGGGATGCGACAGCAGCCTCGGGACTCATCTCAGGCCCCACCTGATACGCTCGCTCTCAGCCCGCTTCAGGGCCATCCGCAGCTCCGTGTTGGACCTCTGGAAGGCCTCCTTCTCCTTGCCCTCATCGTTCAGGCTGCGCCGTAGTTCCGCCGCCTCCTTCCGTTGGAGGTCGCAGGCCTCCTGGGCCTCGCGCACCTTGCGATGGGCCTCCCCCAGTTCTCGGCGAATCAGTTCCCGGGCATCCTCCAGCAGCTGCAGCCGCGTCTTTAGCTCCTCCACCTAAACAGCAGGATTCCCTTTCTGTTTCTGCAGAACGCGACATCTGCAGGCCGGGATCAGGCCGAAGGTCTGCAGCTGAGCACCTGCGAATGCAGCCCTTCCCTCCCTCCCTGCCTGCTCAGGCACCCTCCACCCTGTTGAGTCTGGCCCCTCACCTCGCAGAGGGCAGACTCCCGCTGCTTCGCCAGGTCCCTGGCTTGGTCCTGCAGGCCCTTAGCCTCTCGTTTGTGCCCTACGATGGCCTCTTCCAACTGAGAACGCAGATTTCGCAACTCTGCGTTCAAAGCACTGGTGGTGCTCTGGTTAAGCATAGAAAAGTCCATCAGTTGGTTCCCTGCCTGCCCAGAAACCAACACACACCCACATAAAGAACCAGAGAGTGACAGAAGAGGCCATGCAGACACCTGCTCCTAATTCAACCCACCAGTTGTCCAGTGGAAGGAAGGAAGAAAGGAAGAAAGGAAGGGAGGAAGGAAGGAAGGAAGGGAGAGGGAGGGTGGAAGGAGAAAGGGAAGGAAAGGAAGGAGGGAAGGAAATGGAAAGAAGGAAGGGGAAATGCCTGCCATTGGTCTGGGCGCAGAATCTCATCTGTTGGCAGAGGAGGGCTCTGCCCTACCCAGGGGAGATGCTCCAGGGTCCGCCAGTCCCCTTACCCGCTCCTGCTCCTGCCGGCTGCGGCTCTCACGCTTCTGCCTTTCCAGCTCCAGGGTGAGGTTGGCCAAGGTCTGTTGGGTGGCTAGGAGCTTCTCCAGGAGGACGGCCTTCTCCGAGTCTTTCACAGAGAGTGCCTGGGGAGGGAGCAGGAGCAGGTCACCCAAGGAGCTTCCCCAGCTGGGACAGAAAGCATCCCGCAACCACCGCACCTCCAAATAGGGGAGGACCCCTCTTCCTAATCCCAGCAAGGAATTGTCTCCGTTCAAAGCTTCCCTTCAGCAACCTCCGATACCCCAGGTCCCACACTGTGCCTGAGGGGCTCCCATCCTCACCTGCTGCTTCTCACTCTCTGCCAGCAGGAGGCCCTCGTCCCGCTCCCGCTGCAGAGCAGACACCTCCACACTCAGCTCCTCCTTCTCGGCCTCGTGTTGGGCCAACAGATCCTCCCGCTCCTGCCTCAGCTGGTGCCTCAGCTGGTCCCGCTCGGCCTCCTGCTCCTGCCGCAGTGCCTCCTGCCCAAATGAGAGAGAGAGTTAAGAGAGGAGGGAGGGAGAGAGGGATGAGATTGAAAGATAAGAGAGAGTGGGATGAGGGGGAAAGAGAGTGGGAGAGAGAGGATATAGAAAGATATAGAGAGAGATGAGAGACAAAGAGGGAACAGGGAGAGGAGGGAGGGAGAGACATGAGATGAGAAAGAGAGATGAGAGAATAGGGAGGGAGGGAGAGGTGGAGAGAGAGAGATGAGAGGGGAGGGAAGGAGGGAGAGAGAGATGAAAGGAGAGAGAAAGAGAGATGAGGGGAGGGAGGGAGATGAGATAGAAAGATGAGAGAGAGGAATGAGAAAGAGAGTGAGAGGAGAGAGGGAAGGGGAGAGATGAGAGTAGAGAGAAGGAGAAAGATGAGAGGGGAGGGAGGGAGATTAGATAGAAAGACAAAGGGATGAAAGAGGAAGGGGAGAAAGAGGAGGGAGGGAGAGAGGGAGGGAGAGTGGGAGAGTGTGTGCACAGAGGAGGGAGGTGGCCAGGAGGCGTCACCTGCTCCATCCCGAGATTGGGCAGGAAGTCCTGGTCTCTCCCACAATTTCTCCACTGCACCTATATCTCCTTCCCATGTGGAGAAAGCCATGAGGCTGCAGGGCCAGAAGAGCATTCCTGCTGGAAGCCCCTTTCCCCGGGGACTTCCCTCCAACAGCCCCCCACCCCAGCCCAAGGCCCGGATCCCATCCTACCTTCTCCCGCTGGAGTCGCTCGGCCTCCGCCTGGGCAGCTTGCATGTTCTTCCGGGCGGCCTGGGCCTCCTGCTCCGCCAAGGCCCGGTTCTGGGCCACGAGCTCCTTGTCCCTCTCCAGGCGGCTCATCTCCATCTCCATCCGTTTGTGGACATTTGTAAGCTCCGCTGGTGGGGGAGGGAGCGGGAGGGAAGGGGGTCAGCAGGGTAAGATAGACAGATAGAGTTGGGGGGGGAGCTGCAAAGAAGGGGTGCCTTGCTTTTCCTCTGCCCAAGGATCGAGGACCACGAATATATGCAAAGCAGAAGGGGAGATCCTGGTAACCGGCCCACCGGGAGGTAAAAGCTGTCCCCTGGGCACAGCGCCCTCTCCTGGGATGGAGGAGGATAAAGAGCAGGGGCAAGATTCAGCCGGTTTGGACCTGAGTGGGTCCACGCTCCGCTAAAAGACCCCGTCCTCCCCTCCCCGCCATCTCCAGGTACCTTGCAAGGCCTCTTTGGCCAGAAACAAGCTCTGGCTGCCCGTTTCCAGCTGCTCCCTCCGGGTGTCCAGGTGGGCCAGCCTTTGCTGGGTCTCAAAGAGCGAGGCCTCCAGGGAGTCCTTCCCAGACCTAGCCGGCACAAGATCAACCCGGTCAGGGTGGGGATGGAGGTGGGGGGCTAGGCTAAGCCTCATCCTCTTTGAAGTCAGGCCTTCCAGCTGCGGCTTGAGGGTTAAGCTGCCCGCACCAGTACCTGTTGGTTCGCTAGTCACCCCGGGACCAGAGGGCACAGATGCACGCAGAGCAGGGGTGGGATTCAGCCAGTTCAGACCAGTTTGGGTGAACCGGATGCAAATTTTAGTTCCAAGCACTGGCTGGCCTCGCCCACCCCTCCCAGGAGTTTCCATGCAGCCCGTTTTGAATGCCAGGTAATTGCAGGGCCCACGTGGAGGCTCTGGAAGGGTGAAAAATGGGTCTCCCGGAAGTTCCGGCCTCCGGAGCCCAGGGGAGGCTATTTTTACCCTCCCGGAAGATTGAGGAAAGCCTCTGAAGCCTGGGGAGGGCGAAAATCCCGGGGGTGCAGTAGGCCACGCTCACCATGGCTACACCACTAAGCAATCAGGCAGGGAACCAGTTGCTAACAATTTTGAATCCCACTCCTGGCACAGAGCCCAGGTCTGCTTCCACAGGACAGCAAAGGGCTTCGGCTACTGCCTGACTGCAGGAAGAAGCCCCCACTCCACCCCAAGACCTGATTCTGGCCAACCGTCATCCTTTGAGAAAGGAGACAGAGCAGTGGGACCAAACCAAGCTCCTCCTTGCTCTTCCGTCAGCCCGAGCGCATGAGCTGTCATGCCACTATGGGGCTGCAAGCGCACCAGCGTTCCTTTTGTGACCACTCGGGCCTCCCGGGCACTCACCTGAGGCCAGCGAGCTCCTCCAGAAGGCCGTGGTTCTCCCGCTCCAAGGCGGCCACCTGTACCATCAGCCCGGCCTTCTCCTTCATTAGTGTCTCCTTCTCCTGGGCCACCCGGAGCGCAGACTCCTTCTGGCGCTGCAACTCTTGGCATGCCTGGTCCAGCTCCTTGCCAGCTGCGTTCCTTTGGCGGGAAAGCTGAGGATGGAGTGAGAAAGGCCACAGGGCTGTTGCCACGGCTCTAGCAAGTCGGTCCCCGCCCATGCGAGGCAGAGGATAAATATTGTGACTTGTCGGCCACCAGCCCCTCCAGCAACCGAATCAGAGGAGGAGGAAGAGCATGGGAGCCAGGGTCAACATCAAGGCAACCTGAGAGCTCCGAGGGGGAAGAGGGAATGGAACTGTCAGAGAGAGACGGAGGCATGGGCCATCCGTCAGCCTTCACATGGAGAGTCAACAGCCCCCAGGTATGGAGGTGGCTGATGAGGAAGAGGAGGAACAGCTGGGTTCAGTGCCTTATTGCAGATGCACGGAAGGCAGAGGAGAGGAGAGCAGTGGAAATCAATGGGCCGGCCCTTGGGATGGAAAAGCCACCACTGCTAGCGAGACCCAGCATTCCTAATAAAGGAATATTTTGAGTTCACATCAGAGGGCTTGTCATGTTTGAGGAGCTGGGTCAGAACAATAAGCCACCTCCCAGCGAAAACAAAACCCTTAAAGCCCGGGCAGATCGTGGGCAACTGGGATTGGAAAACAGAGTCAAGGTAGGCATGCGTGTGCCAAATACCTGTGCCAGCTGTTCCTGGAGCTGGCCTTTCTCCCCCTGCAGGGCCAGCAGCTCCTGCTCCAGGGCCACCTGGCTCTGCTCCACTGCCTGCAGGGAATGGCCCAGGCCTCGGCACTCCGAGTCGAGCTCCAGCTTCTCCTGCACCAAGCGGGCCAGGTCATCCCGGATGCAGGCCTTCTCCAGCTCCGCCTCCTGCTTCCTGCTCAGAAGATAAGCCTTCTCCTCCTCCAGCTGCCCAAAGGAGATGCCCAGGGCTGCTGTGAGGGACGGCAGGTGTTGCTGCTGCTCCTCCCATATGCTCAGCCTTGGCATTTTCCAAGGGGAAGAGCCTGGCTCTTCCTGTCTTCCTCGTTCCCCTTAAAGCCACTGTGGAGCATGGGACGCTCTGTGCTGAGAGTCATCTATGGTCACCTTGGCAAAGGCTGCAGGGCCTTTGGCTTCTGCACCGCACGCAAAGCAGGCAAGGGAGACTCGGGCATCTCTTTGCAACAGTTGTGGACGCAGGGCAATCTCCCCCCACCTTCCCCCCCGTGGCCACACTCACCACTCGCAGCCCTAACCTGGATGAGAATCTGGTTCAGCTCCGTTTTGTCTTGTGCCAGCCCTTCATTGAGGGCACTCATTTTGGCAAGGGAATCGCGCATGGAGGCCTCCTCCGCCTTCAGCCGGTTCAGAGCGACTTCCAGCTCGGCCCGGCTCCCCTCGTTCTGCATGGGAGGAAGAATGCAATGGTGGCAAACAGGAGCCTCTCCCCATGGAGGCCACAAAGGACTGTGGGCATCCTGGGGTCAAGGCCAGGGCTGCTGGCAAGCAGTACCCTTGATTGGTGGTGTAGTGGTTAGAGTGCAGTACTGCAGGCTACTTCTGCTGACTGCCGGCTGCCTGCAATTTGGCACTTTGAATCTCACCATGCTCAAGGTTGACTCAGCCTTCCGTCTTCTGAGGTGGGTAAAATGAGGATCCAGATTGTTGGGGGCAAGAGGCTGACTCTGTAAACCGCTTAGAGAGGGCTGCAAAAGCCCTGTGAAGCGGTATGTAAATCTAACTTGCTATTGCTATTGCTCCAGCCAAGGTGGGCGCAACACACCACGGGCTCCCTCCCTCGCCTGAACCTCCAGTGGGCGCCTTGCCTTGGCCAGAGCTTCAGCTGCTTTGGCCTTCTCCTCTTCCAACACCTCCTTCTCCAGAGTCGCATGGCTGAGGGCTTCCTTCGTCAGCACCAGCTCGTTCCTCAGGCTGGACTTGGTGGCCTCCAGATGTTCCAGCTGTCTGTGGCTATCAGGAGGGCAAAGAGGGGTGGGGACCACAGAGGGCCTGGCTGAATGCAACAGGCTCTGAATACCTGAGAGATAGACAAGACCAGAGGAGAGCAGACCAGAGTCCCGGCCCCGACCTTCGGGCCTCCTCCTGCTGAAACGTTGGAGTTGGGACTCCTCTGTAGGGGGGCCTCCAACCCAGCCCCCTCCTACCTCTGTTCCACTTCCTTCCAGGCATGCTCCCGATCCTTCAGGAGGTCTTCTCTTTCCTCCTCCAGGGCATCGCGCTGGTGCTGGAGGTCGCTGCTGGTCAGCTGCAGTTTCTCCTTCTCTTGACGCACCTCTTCCAGTTCCTGCTCCGCAGCCCAGAGGCTCTTCTCCAAGGACACCTTCTCACTAATTTGAGGGGGAGACAACAACAGCCTTGTGGGAGCAGCAGGGAGGAGCCCAAGACAGCTCTGGCCTTCCCAAGGCCTCTCAAAAGCAGAGGAAGAGCAGGCTGGCTACCAGTGGCCACGTTTTGGAGTCGCTTACCAAGATCTCTGCTTAAAGGGTCAGCAGCAGCCCAAATTATGCTTTTTTAATGGAGAGGCCAGTGGGTGCAACACAGGCTTCACCGCTAATTAGCCACCAACGTTGCAGAAAAACGCCCACTCTTGGAATAAAGGAAGTGTTAGGGTTCCAAATAGCATCCAAAAGTAAATCAGAGTCCGAGGCAAAGGATTCCTCAAAGTTCCAATTTATTAAGAGAGACATGTTGGCACATCTGGGAAAACCCGAATCTGAAAGCTTCCAGGTTTTCCCCACCTAGTTGAAAGTTCAAGATCTTGCCCCCACACCCACAAGTCCATCACATGGTCTGATCTCCCACTCCCATGCTGGCAGTTCCACCCATCCAATTCCGGTCAGGTGCAGGGGTGCAGAGACAAAGGATGACCTTGGCTTTCTAGAAAGAATTTTGTTAGTGGTCCCTA